ATATATACACCAATACATGTATCGCCGTTACATCATTAAGAAAAATCCAGACTGATATATAAGTATCAGATTTTGTTGTTAAATGCACTGCAAAAAGTGACTGCCTCAGAAAAGTGTTTCTAAAGATCATACGTGGATATTTGATGACTTCAATAGCACATCAACGATTACAATATTCCAACTGACAGGCGCGTCATAGCATTTAGTGCATGAATGATGAGCATCAAAAAACGTTCCTTTATATATATAGCTCACACACACACACACACACACACACACACACACACACACACACACACACACGCACACACACACACACACACACACACACACACACATATATATTATATATATATATATATATATATATATATATATATATATATATATATATACATATATACACATACATACACATGTATATATATATAAGACGCGTGAAAGGCACAATAATATCTTTTATTTTCGGTAAATACTGAATCAAGAAAAAGAAAAGCTTAAAAAATAGGAGACAGAATGAAAAGAATTAGAAATATAAAAGTGATTTTAAAAAAAGAGGATTAAAGATGAAAGCAAAGTAGATGAATTCCCATGGGGAGTGTATATCAGCTGGCATTATCATTGTAATCATGGTTATTGTTATCATCACTATCATCATTATCATTATTGTTATCATTAGTATTTCTGTCTTTATCATCATTACTATTAACATATTTGTTATTATTATTATCACTTTAACTATTAAATTATCATTATTGTTACTATTACTATTATTACTATTATTATTATTATTATTATTATTATTATTATTATTATTATTATTATTATTATTATTATTATTATTATTGTTATCATCATCATTATTATTACTATCATCATTATTATGACTCTTTTCATTTAGTGTCATCATAATTATCATTACGTTCATTATACTTATTGTGTTTCATTATCTTAAATACTATCATAATCTTTGTCTTTAATAGCATTATGATTATTTTACCATCCTCATTATCCTTATCAGTATCATTATTATTACTATTATTATCATTATTGCTATCGTTATTATTTATTTCGTCATTATTATCAATATGATTATTATTATCACCATTAGTATTCTGTGACTGTAATTATCTTTACTGCCATTACTATCATCATTAATATTATATTTATTATCATAATCATTACTTTCATTGTTTTTATTAATATTACTATTACTATTATTCTTATTATCATTATCATCATGATTATCTTACTAGAGTTATAAGGTATTTCTTACTAAGATAGTATTTGTGTTTTTGTTTAATTATTACGTTTTGTTTTATGATTTTTTTTTCTGTAAATCTTTGTAACGCTTTGTTGGATTCTACGAATAGACATTTTTATCTGAATTTGAATATTACTATTATTATTTATCATTACTTGCATCTTGATCATCATTATCATGATCATTACCTTTTATGTCATCATCATTGTTATTACTAATATTATCTTTATTGTTATCACTTCTTTATCATCATTGCTGCTATTTTCACTATCATTATTACTATTGTCATTATCATTGTTATGATCATTATCATCGTCATTTTTAAATCTTAATCATTGTTTTTGCTACTGGCAATAAGATTATGTTTTTCTATTTCTCCTTTTCTTCTACTTCACCTTATCTTCACCATAACTTTTGTTATCGCCTTCATTATCATTAATACTTTTATTTTCATCATAATCATTATCATCATCATTATTACCATTATCATCATTGTTCTCATCATTATCATTAAATTATTGTTATCTCTATCATTATCATTATCACTATTATCATTATTACTTTTATTTTCGTTATCTTCATTATCATTAATATTGATAACATCATATCATTGTTATTATTATCATTATTATCATTATCACTGTTACTATTACTATTATCTTCATAACTGTTATTATCATTATCATCATCATCATCATCATCATTATTGCTATTATCATTATTGCTATTTTCATTATTGTTGTTATCAATATCATTGATATCATTATTGTTATCATTATTATTGTTATTATCATTCGTGATAGTATTATCATTGTGATGTTATTATGAATTTTTACGATTATTACTATTACCATGATTATCTTTATCTTTAAGAAATTCATGCTTAACATAATCTACGTAATACTAATGATTATCATTACTATTGTTCTAATTGTTATTGATAGTCTAATTTTCTTATCATCCTTATCATTCTTTCTGTTGTTATTATCATCATTTTATGTTTCATACAATTACTGTTATCATTATTATTATCAATGCTATTGTTATCTTTTTAAAAATCATCAAATGTTATTATCTTTATCGTCATTATTACTGCTACTATTACTGTCATCATTATCATAACTATACTTATCATCATCACTATTATAGTTAATATCATTAACATTATAATTATCATTATTATTAGCATGATGCCGAAAATAATGATCGTAAAATTAGTAAATGCTTTAAAGTCATAACTATGGAAGAAAACGGGAAGTTCACTTTACACTGAATAAACTCACTTTAAACCACAATTAAGGTATCGCTCTCACATATCGCATTCTATTCACGATAACAGTATCCATGGAGATCTTTAAGAGAGAATGCACGGCTACAGGAAGCACATTAAGGAAATAGCAAGGACAGCAGCAAATTCGCGGTCCTCGGAAGAATTTCATGGATGCCAAGCTCTCAAAAGTTCGAGCCCAGCGGGAATAATCTTCGCTAACGTCGGGAGAGGAGGCAGGAACACCTCGCTCCTTGCCAGACCGTGCAAGAACGTGTCAAGAAACTCCTACGCGATGCAGAATTGGGTCATTCACTATAGTTGCGAGACTTTAGCATCGTCGGGATGTAGCTGGCCATGTAGACGATACAGCCCTCACGATGCCGCTATCCACAAGCATAAGAATCTATCCATAAGAATCACATTAACAAGGATTTGAAGTCTTGGCCGCACCCCGCTGTAGAATCCAACTTCGGCAACTTGGTGGAGAACTTATTTAATTGAGGATCTTGCACCTATTGTAAGGTCTTACATGATATGCAGATACTTAGTTATCCAACAGATAGATGTTAGCTTACATATTTCATTTGAAATATGAGAGAGAAAGAGAAAGAGAGAGAAGCCGAACAAAGACTCATAGGCTATAGGTGAATTGTGCCACGTAACTGTTGCTTTGTTCCAGAAGAATATGTGAGTGATTCATCTCCCTTTTCTTTTATCTTTTATATTTTAATCACAGATGAAATGATTTTTTTTAGATTGTTGAATATAACTAATATGTTCATCCACACACACACACACACACAAAGCAAAAAAAAAAAAAAAAAAAAAAATTCAAAGATATTTCGCTCATGTGTTTATTATTAGTTTGTTTTACTTATTCAACGCTATTTCTTTAATATTCATTTCCACGTCGCGTTGTCTATTGATGTAGCTTTGGATATAAGTCAATTAGATCAAATAAATTGTTCAGTAATACCAGGGAAAGTAAAGCGATTTAGACTTTTTTCTTTGGGTATCTGCCTTGTTCTTTCTCTGTCTGTCTATCTGTCTGTTTCATTTCCTCCTTTTTTGAAGCTATTGTCTCTATATTTATACATATATTTTTTTCTGCCCGTCTCTCTGCTTGTTACGCGGTTTTTTCACACTCATTTTATTTTTCTTGTCCTCTCTGACTGTCTCTTGTGCGTTGTCTCACCCTGTCTCTCGCTCTCTCTCTTTTTCTCATCTTCTCTCTCGCTCTCATTTTCTCTTTCTCCGTCTCTATCGCTCTCCCAATCCCTCCCTCTCTCTTTCTCCCTGTGTCTCTTTGTCTCTAGCTTTATCAATCTCTGTCCTTGACACTTTATGCTTTTCTATAGCTATCTATATTTCTCTGCCTCTCTCTCTCTCTCTCTCTCTTCTCTCTCTCTCTCCTCTCTCTCTCTCTCTCTCTCTCTCTCTCTCTCTCTCTCTCTCTCTCTCTCTCTCTCTCTCTCTCTCTCTCTCTCTCTCTCTCTCTCTCTCTCTCTCTGTCTGTTTCGCATGCTCATAGAAATATCTATAAAGATGAATCTACGGATCTGATTTTATATTTTTAGTCTATTCATCTGTACCTTATATCACATTATAAAACAATCCTTAAGGAGGTGGGGGACTAAAACAAAGATCTTTAGCAGAAAATGTTTATTAAAATAAATGTCGAGTCTTGGCTGCATCAATACCATACATGTATCGGTTATTACCCTTGATAATAAATGCATTCTAAACCATGGGACTCTTTGTTACTATCTCTACGTAGAAAAATAGCCAGTCTGGATAAACGAGTTGACTAGTCGATGCAATAATGTTCAATTCAACTTCAGGTCTTCTCAAAAGAAAGTTCAGTCTCCAGGTAATCACTACATGCCTTCGCGTTTGTATTTTTAAGCTGATGAATAATTCTTTCAGGAAGCCTTGCCGTAATTGCAGCAATGTACATACATACATATACATACATACATACATACATACATACATACATATATATATATATATATATATATATATATATATACATATATATATATATATATATATATATATATATATATATATATATATATATATATATATATATATATATATATATATATATATATATATATATATATATATATATATATATATATATATATATATATATATATATATATATATATATATATATATATATATATTATATATATATATATATATATATGTATATATATATATATATATATATATATATATATATATATATTTATATATGTATATATGTATGCATAAATGTATATATATATATATAACATATATGCTGTAAATATATGTATATATGTATATATATATAATATATATATATATATATATATATATATATATATATATATATATACATATATACTATATATATATATTATATATATATATATATATATATATATATATATATATATATATATATATATGGTGTGTGTGTGTGTGTGCATGTGTGTGTAAATATACAATTCATGGAAGTAAATCCCACCCCAGAATCGAGCGTCTTCAGCCCTAAGATTAACCTCCGACCCGAGGGCGACACCGAACCCGCTTCCAAGGCGCAGAACCGCCGCCGCCGACCCCCGCCGAACCCGATCCTTCGCCCGTCCGAAAGAACGTAACC